CCGGACCCTTTCCTATATAACATTCTGTGGTGGGTACTCGTGGAAGTGTGGTGTAGTGGTTAACGTGTCCAAATTATACACTGCACTATCGTGGTTCGAGTCCCTTCGGGAATACTGATGAAATCTGTGCGAGGTTGAAAATTTAGTCCACTCTGAATGGATGCCTTTTGGGAAAGCAAGGCTATGTGAGATTCAATGAAAACTTAAGATTTATTGATATCTTTGTGGGAAGATTCGATTGACAGTCCCCGTATTACCTTAAGCGAAAAAAGGTAAATACATCTAATTTATTTGATCTATTGGTAGTTTCGAAAATCTGTTTATAAAACAAAAACTCATTTAAATCGTAGACTCGCCACTTTGATAAATATAACTTTGTGCTGACGATGCCGGAAAAACGTTTGGAACTGTACCAAATTACCGCTGGTGTGAAAATCCACCTTTTTCTTTTTTCATTTAAATCGCGAAAAGCACACCTCTCGTTTTACAAGTTGACATTACCATATAATCCTAGGGTACTGGGATGACGTTCCTGTGTGTGTGTTGGTTGGTATCCCCCGTCGTCAAGCCTGTCATCAATCACCTCCGCTTCCGACGCAGATATGAAAATTACACACGACACAGTGGTGACCTCTATCTAGCCCACCTATACCTTTAGTCTTTAATTTCATATCCTACATCTCACAGGTGAACCCCCTGGGTAGATTTTTGGCCAATTTCACGTCTGACTTACTACAGTCGCCTTTTCTTGACTTCTCTTTGTTCATCATTAGCCGTTCCTTGGTGGTGTTTCTTCCTGTTGAACCGTTGTACTGGGCCCAAGAGTATTCTTTTTAATGTATTTGTTGAATCTTATGCAGTACGCAAAATTATCGCTGACTTCCTCCTTCCAATCTCCTTTTCATCACTTTTCTTTGAAAGAGAATGTCCACAGCCTCCCTGATCTTCCTCTTCCTGGTGTTTTCCCCATATAAGGCCAGTCTTTCAATTGCATTCCAGTCAATTGTGTGGCCGGTAAAGGCGATGTGTTCAGCTATCTCCGATCTTTCCGTATCCATTTTTCTGCATATTCGCCAAAAGTTTTAACTTTTATTACTAGATCACTGCTTACATAGATCAAAACTTGTACATTGTCACATGTATTCATAGTCGGATTTTCATATTACTAGGCTCAATTTTGCTTTGGCGAGAGATTTGTTTCAAACGAGACGTTTTCAATTTGTCCTTAATTCAATTTATTATCCCTTATAATCGAATTCCTACTACATTGGTAATTCACAAGTACCCTATCCTATTTCCCTCCTTTTAGTCAGTTACTTTCAGATGTCATCTCTTTGATTTTCATTTGGTATCGTATTGTAAATAAATATTTATTTGCCGCTTAGCAATCAGTAGAATTTTAAGCTTCTATTACCGAAGGATAAACATACTTTTCTAGCCGATAATTCCCCTTCCTCCGGTCCAATACTGTGCTATGACATTGATGATGTACCAAATTATCTCATGCTTATTTGCCATTTATTTAGTTTTATCTAAAATGTGAATCTTACATTCTATCGCAAACCCTACCAAGCTTATATTTATTCGTATACCCTTTTGCATCGTTGTTAGAAAGAAATCTTCATTTTCTGTGGTCTAATTTAATTTTATTATGATTATTTATTTATATTTTATTACTGCTAATATTATTAGTAACAATAGTGTCTTAATAGACACGTCTTTTTAATGGAATTCATTTGTTGATTGTCTCTAAGATAATGCCTTTTGACATCTTATAATGTGATGTTTTTAATGCATTATCATTATGCTTAGAATCGGTAGCCCTGACCCTAGTCAAACTGGGCCAAAATCTATTTTGAAAGTTAATTCGAAGTTTGATTCTATCTTATTTATTATAATCTTTTTTGGGCCCATCGTCAAGAAGATAAGTTGGTTCATATATTTATATTTAGCGGCTATAGCTTGACTTTTCTTTTTAGCTTAAATATGATTCTTATTTTCAGGAAGTCTAAAAGGAAGTCGTTATGAGATACGCCAGCGTCGTCGACAGCAGCGACGTGAGCAGCACCGTCTAGCCAATCTTAGGGCTAAAAAGTCCTCGAAGCTTGCCAGTAAGGATTCTCAGTTCCGATTAAACAGAAAGTTTGAGGAGGATGAGGAAGAGGAAGATTTAGATGAAGAAGAGGAGGATGAAGAGGACGAAGGTGAGGACGATGAGTTTGAGGAAGAAGAAGAAGATATGGATGATGACGATGGCGATGAGGAAGATGAAGTAGAAGATGACGAAGATGATAGTGATGGCGGTGCAGATGTTGAATTCGTGGCTGATACACAAGAAGAGCAGGAAAAGCTAAAAGAACGAATGAATTCTGCCAGCCAACACATGGAGGATTCTGTGGTAGCTGCCTATGCAGGTTGGATTTTTACCTACCTATTTTATTTCCGTTCTATTAATCTACAACGCATCTCATATTCTTTGGAGACCCTCAAAATTAGCAGTATATTTAAGAATTTTCATTGGTATAGACGCTAGTACTTTTGATACTACAATAAAGTATTTAGTTTCTCTCTTGAGTTGTAAATACAAGCATTATTCAATACATGGATAAATTGTGATCTACACCTCACATTCTATTCTTGAGGCTTCATGAATTTTTTATACATAGGAGTTCATAGTTATTCATATTTGACAACCAAGTGCTTTATTTTCTGGGATAAACTAATTTTTACGGCATGTGCCGAATTTTTATATCCACTATCAATAATTATTGCTTCATAACTGAAATAAGTGGCCAGATAAGAATAAAATGATAAATTTAGCTAAGCAAAGCGATGACTTTCTCCCGTATAATTATGAAAATTTCAATTCATTAACATTAAATTACAAACGATTATAACTAAAGGTGTTACCAATACTCTAGTTGCTGACATTTTATCGTAAAACACGCCCCGTTTTCTGGCCTGATCAAATAAAGTAAATAGTTTAGTTTCTCAATTTTTGAATGATTTATCACGCATTACCAGGTTTTTTAAGCATTTAATTACTGTGTATGAATAGAAGCTGGCTTTCAAAGAATATCTTAATACATTTGTTGTGCATTTCACTTCGTTTGAAAAGGTGGATGGAAGAGATTCGTAGATTGGCCTTATCATAAATCAGAAGATTGTCTTAGAATTTTCTTTGTGAATTTGTGTTTTAGCATTTTAAAAATTTATTTCCTAGACTGATACGAAAAAAAATCAACTTGACTGAAAATCTAATTTTTATTTAGGCAAATGTACTTTTACTCTGAGTTTCTACATTTTTTGGGGTTCAGATAACCAAAACCACATGTGGTTAGCGTTTCTCTCACTTCTATGAAAGTTACAAACAAGCCTTTCGTGTTTCTTTAAATTCGTTAACCATCAGAATTATTACTTTCCTTTTTACCTCGTCTCCCAAATTATGCACTGCTATTTTTAAAAACAAATTAATCATGAATAAATTTGCTTAAATTTTTTCATATTTTCTCTTCCAAGGTAATCTGTGCCTCTCCACAGGACCTCAATTACAGTAGATTTTATTGAGTTTAAGTGAACCAACCTGCCATGCGGGTTCTTATAGGCCATTCATTTAATTTTCTTGCTATCCTTATCACGCCTAATCTTTCTATTTATGCGTATCACGTCTACTTTTATTGTTCATTTACTTAGCTTTCACATACTCACTTTCTTCAACACCACATTTATTTTGCTTTATCCAGCTTTGTTACTCGGCTGCATTCTTCAAACAAGCCCACGCTATAC